TCATTTTCAGACGATTTTTCTTCTACAGAAACAATTTCTAGATCTGAATCTGCAATGAAATTGATTTCAAGATTAATAATTTCAAGAATTACTAATCAATACAAAAAAATAATTTATATATATATATATAGTATTTTTGTAAGTTGATTTACTTGTCTTTGTCTTACTGGTCGACACCTAGATCTTTTGTTTCTTGTTTTTGGTTTTGGTACAGTTTTGTTAGGCACTTTAATTCTATAAGATAGTAACAAGTTAACATGAAGTCACAGGAGAGAAATATTAACGATATATAAAACTTTATAAAATTCTACAAAACTAATTTTTTTAATGGACTTATACCTATTGAGTATGCACAATTCTTTATTCTTTTCGTCATTCTCTTCAGTCTTTTCAGTCTCTTCAGTTCATTTTATTGTGAGGACATTCGTTTTTGTTTCAAGGCTTTGATTAGATTATCTGTTTGAGTTTTGTCTCACAAATTAAATGAGATACATTATTAACAATAATACCATTTGTATTATGTATCTTTCAGTTTAATGACAGAATTTAAATACAAATCATCATCATCGTCATACGAGCTTACTAATTGGATAACTTCCATTATTTACTAGGTTTTGTTCAACGATGTTATTTAATTACAATATCTTACAAACGGTGTAACAATTGTAGGCTCGCAGCTTTGGAGGGGCATTACGATACCGTCAAAGTGCTATTGGCTCACAATGCGGACGTGAATGCAAAAGATGCTGATGGAAGAAGCACTCTTTATATTCTCGCCCTAGAGAATAGACTAGCGATGGCCCGATTCTTATTGGAGCATGCACGCGCTGATGTGGAAAGTAGGGATTCAGAAGTAAGTGAAATTCGTTATGTCGATCATTTCTTGTTTTAATTAAGTATATCCATTTAATGCAGTTGATAAGTTTAATGCAATAATTTTATAGGGTCGAACACCGCTGCATGTGAGTGCTTGGCAAGGACACGTCGAAATGGTAGCCCTGTTGCTAACAGAAGGCGGTGCCAGCGTGAACGCCTGTGACAACGAGAACAGAACTCCTTTACACTCTGCTGCCTGGCAAGGTCATGCAGCCATTGTTAGACTGCTTTTAGAACATGGAGCAACGCCTGATCATACTTGCAATCAAGGCGCAACAGCTCTGGGTAATGATAATAATCAAATTGATCAATGAAACGATTCTCTTCTTACATCTTCTTGCATACAATATCTTCATTTATCGATATTTCTTCAGGTATCGCCGCACAGGAGGGTCATGAACATTGTGTCCGAGCACTCTTAAACCACGGTGCTGATCCCAGCCATTCTGATCATTGTGGTCGAAATGCCATCAAAGTGGCTGCCAAAAGTGGCCACGATACTGTGGTCAGACTACTCGAGGAACATTCGGCTAATCAACGAAGTCTGAGACCTGGTATCAATGGAGGTTTGTCTACTTCTCATAATTCTTCAATGATCTTCTGAGATTTTTTGTTTGAGATCTTTTCATCTAAGTGATTATATGTACATGTACTCATTATGTGATCCATATGTGACACAGGTGGGAGTAGTACTGCTACGTCAGTAACATCAAACTCCACAGCCGAAACGAAACCATCGTCAGCAATCTTGAATCCTCTGTCGACACAGTACAGTCCAGCAGAGTCGCCAGACTCGACGAAAAGAAGGAGCTGCGTGTCTCTGGGCAATAACTCTAGCAACAGCAAGTCCAGCAGCAATTTAACCGGCAGCACGAAGAGCGATCAGGGGAAGTTCAATCAGAATTCGATGGTGAATCAGGTAATAAAAGTAGGTAACAATTGTTTTGTTTCTAATTGCTTTCCCGATTAATTCTCTTCTGTGACTTGATGAGCCAGTTCGAGCTCTCCGATACCACTTCCAATCGGCTCTCATCCGTCATGTTCCATCATCTCTTTCTGGCTGCATGTTTTGTTCATTCTATTTT